ACTCCTATCCTTACTCAGTTCCTGTTTAAGCATCTAATTTTTTTTATCGATTATCCTTAATATGTATGAAGTTGTTTCTTTACTGTCCGTCCTAATGACATTCATTTTTCTCTCGTCATTTTCGGTGATTTATTGTTACTACTTATTTTAAGATAAGTAGTATACGTGTATTACACGAAAACTATTTGACATAGGGGATATAATTTACAAAGAGAGGAAAAATATAATCATGATTTTTAGCCTGAATTTTACATTCTCTCGTTAAGTTTTGTTATTTTACTAATGCAGCATTTTTTGAGTTTATCTTTTCCTTTTTAAAAAGATGATGTTTGAATAATGAGACCATGACCATTTTTGTCTATGCTAATTTTTGTAATGTAATTATTTATGGTTTATTTTCTTTATTTAATTATGCCCCCCTCACTTTTCATCTTCTTTCTCTCTATCTTGAGGTTTCTTGTACACTTTGTATTGTATTTTGTTTCTTTTTTTGCTGTTTTTTGTTTCCTAAACAAATTGTTTATTCTTCTGGATGGGATACAATATGTGAATCAATAGTAATGATGATGTGTATTTTCGTTTATCTTTGCTTTGTGTATCCATCATATTTATGTACAGATGAACAATGAATTATTCTATTCAAAAGTGAATTTCCGTTCGTTTATTTCTGTTGCATACCATATGAATTACTACAAACCAGTGAATCAATTAATTATGGTTTATGGGTAAAAATAAACAGCGGGATAATTTAAATGTTTAATAATAATGATCTAAAAATCGTACATTTTACACAAGCTAGTGGCTAATGTGCTGAGTGTTTAGGGCGATATGTGTTATGTCTGAATCTCTGTGTAACCATCAACACTGAAATGCAGATATATCTAGCCAATAAGTTATAAATAGAACGAAACACGTATCCCGTATTCCTTATACTATTGACTTCTACTCTGGACCTACAGAGTAAGTAATTGTGTCGAATAAAGAATTGTTTAGCCCACAATCTAGTTCCTCATTAATGATCGTCAGTTTGGTATCTGGTATAATGTGATCTCCAGCCTGTATACCGTATCAATCGAGTATTAAGTTTTGTGATAGCATACCCTCGATCACCTGTCCTATTGTCGTATTATAATAGTATATGATAGCTACGAAGCAAATAATTCATTCTCCCAGTACTCTCAGAATATGAGTGGGGTATGACAACTGTTTGTTGGCTAATCAAAAAACTTATTATTGATGAATGGTCTGTGGGAAAATGTAGGATTTTTTACAAGTAACGTATCTACAGAAGTTTGCTACATACGTTTTTATTTGTAAGTCGAAATAAAAATATTCATTCGTCCATATGACTATGAAATTCTATATTGTCGAACTCTTTGAAAGATGTAAAGTATTTGTTGAGATTTCCCCACTCTGTTCCTAGTTAGGTTTAGTAATTACTAGTTAGAGTTGATTCATATATTATATACACTCTACATAGAAAACACTCAGTGTTTTGTACATTTAACATTATCACTCTCATTCTTTTACATAATTTTAAACATTCTAAATACTGCAAAGGCATTTCTGTTGTAACAATGGTTATACTTACTATGATTTGAGCAGGCCTATCTTATCTATCAACACTATGTGACTCTTGAGAATTATAGTATAGAGTAATGAGAATATTTCGTTAATTTATTGGGAGAATGACGTGATTAAACATAAATTCCAGCTTAGCCTCGTTTTCTGGACTTAAACCTCGCGAAGTTTGAAGTATCTTCGTTGATTTTACTAACGAACGTTTATCGTTACTGTCGACTTAGTTCTTTTATTACTATCTCATTCAAGCCTGTTAACTATCTTGAAGATACTTGCATCTCTTCAGCATTCAACTTTAACTAATTCAAATTACTGAGTTAGACCATTAATATGTAACTTTAGCAAATTAACGGAGCAAAAATTCAAATATTTAGCTGTAAACAAAACATTTTTAGAAGTGTATCAACGAAGAGCATCATTGATGAACTGAGATGTTGCTGAAAATGTGTCTGTGATTGACGCTTTCTAGTTACTGAGACTATAAAAATACTTTTTCCATTAAAAAAATAATACTTTCCCGATGTGGAATGATGACTACGGAGTCTGTGGAACAGCTGCTTGAGACCGTTTACAAGTGACCTATCTTTATTGAATTCTAACTCTCTTCCAACAGATATCTGTGTGTCAAGGTGAGATATGGTCTTTTTAGATCTAATCTCCCCTATTTTACAAACTAAGCGTCATGTGAGATCCTGCTCATCACAATCACTGTTGTCGACAGTAGAATTTTACATTTTCTGCCTTTAATCTTATTCATTGTCATAATAGGGTATTAAGGAACAAGTTTTTAATTGAACGTAGATCCATCTAACTTTTATGATGTACAATTCCTATTACTACATCAAGACAACATCTATAATCAGGACAAAATAGATTTTTCAGCTACCAACAATATAGAATAAACCTTTACTAAATAGTTCATTTTGAAATAATTCAGATCATCATTATCTTAGTATAATTTCTTTATGGTAATTTGGTTCCCTGATGAGATATATGTTTTCTTGTGGTAGCATATATAAGATTATTATACTCAATAACTTGCAGTAAACAAAATGAACTCTAGGTAAACAACTTTTACTGTTCCTGACATTAGTCAGTTAACAGAACTGACCGAATTCAATGAATTCCAATCATTTTTAGATTTTTAGGTTGAGATCATGAACCGATTGATGTTAAACCACCGTTGGAAATCTGGAAGCATTGAATGGCCATTTCATCCTATTATGGGACTCCTTAGCAGTGCGTATCCACGATCCCTCCCGTGAGATTCGAACCCAGAGCCTTCAGTCTCGCGCGCGAACGCTTAACCTACTGGACCACTGAGCCGGCATCCAATGGTGTTAGTGTCTAATATCAACCAATCCAGAAAATGAAAATCATACAACTAGAAAATATATTGTTTAGTGGATTAATTTAGATATTGTTAATGAGTATACGTTAAGTAGTTGGTTTTTAATCGTTTGTTTTTTTCTAAATTTTCACAATTATGAATTTTTCCTTGTTACTCATTAGTTGTTGTTCTAATGATAAATTGTTGTCATTTAACTTAGTGACAGAAGTTTCCTAGTTACATCATTCATTATGTGTCTTGACTAGTAATTTACTAAGATGAGAATTCGTCAGACCTATTGATTATATTGTAGTGTATGCTACTGATATCGACAGATATAAGTAGTATATATCATCAGTCGAAAGTGGAATACTTTGTGGTATCACTGTGGTCGAGAAGAACGAATAGAAGAAGAGAATGAGAACAGTGAATGATTGGTATAGAAATGAAAGAACCCACAAAGTTTAAGACAATTAATTCTGTAATTTTGTATTCAAATACATTTAGTTGTTCTCAATTATTTTCCCCTTCCCTTTAGTAATGACAAATGGATTCATGTAGAATTGTTAAACTTTGTATAAATATAACAGTTTCTAATTATTATTACAAAAAATATAATAAATGACATATGCAATACTTTTATATATTGAGATTAATCTATTCATGCATGTCATTTCTAATTGTATTAACACAGCTTCAAATGACCATACCCCGGTAAGTTGAGTTTTTCAGTACCCTACAAAAGTTATATGAAGGGAAAAGGAAAACATATTACATATGAAGTAAATGATAATACGACATTATGAATCATACAAGTTAGTTACTTATCAAAGTTATTACATAACAATTCGCTAATTCTTACCGATAATAATGATAGTCATTTTAGTGTAGAAAGTTGTAAAGATCCTTGAATTGTGTTAGTTCTATATTATGAATGAATGTTGATAAAATAACTATTGAGAACTAGGAAATTGAACATGACTTTATATGCTTGAAATTACACAACAATACGGATTGATCATTAAAATAACCCATAGTATCATTGAATTCTCTTTTTCTTATTCAATACTGATTGACTCAGTCAGTCAGTTAGTCGTGTAGATAAGAGAGTTAATAGGTGTAGGAAGGATTTGAATGTGATCAACTTAGTCTTGTGTGCTGTTACGGGTATAAGGGCTGATGCCACTTCCCGGCTCCCCATACCGTGGAAGGATATTTCGTGAGAAACCTGAAAAGGAAGTTGGATTAATGTTGGTTTTAACGACCTGGGAGCGTGACCGCAGAGTTCAAGAAACAACTACTTGAGGCCGGTCGCGCACGGCTTTTTTGTGGGAGGTTTTTAGCGTGTTAGCTCTGTTCGTCAAAGGACCTTACTACCGGAGACGGAAATCCGTGAGGTAGCCTTCAGGAACTTTCTGTGACGCATACTGAACTGTCATAAAACATTTATAACGTTAATTCCAGGAATCTCAACCAGATAATCTGTACCAATCAATATGGCTCAATCTAATAGTTAATTATATGACAAACTGCTCTAGATCTTGGTTTAGACACTCCTACCTTTTTTCTAACGTCAACAAACGTCAAGCTAACATCTACTTTATTGAGAACGAATTTAATTTATGTCATTCAACAACTTTAATCATAGATTTGTAATTTTTTGGTTCCTAACCTAGAATCTTGCATTTTGTCAACATAGTTCTGATAAACAACCGATGAATTTCTAAACTAATTCTATGTTTTCATTTTATCAATTCCAATTTTATATCAGAACGGTTTTTGTGGATTTTATAGTAATTTCAATGGTTGAAATCATGAATGAATTGAAACTAGAACAACATGGAAAACGTAACAACACTGGACTGGACGCGAGATTGATAGGTCCTAGGTTCGAATCTCTCAAGGCGAGATCGTGGATACGCACTGCTGAGGAATCTCACAACAGCCGTCCAGTGCTTCCAGGTTTTCCATAGTGATCTAACTTCAATTGACTCATAATCTCAACCATTGAAATTCCAATTTTACCAAATTCTCAGATTACTAAAACAAAACGAAATTTGTTTTTCAAATTCACTTACTCATTTATTTATTACACAATCTGTTTACCAAATTTACTATGAAATATCACATTCACTTTACTTGTTTTCGAAGTAGACTCTTCAAAATTCATCGATTCTGTATAAGGTGGACAGTATAAGTGTAATGTAATAGCAGTCTCTGTTTTACTAGAATTCTGTAAACGATGTATTCCAATTTTATCTATAAAATAAAATATAATACCAGATCATTAGTAATTCAACTTGAAATGATAGATGATTCATTGAGGTCAAGTAATATCAGCTATGTTGTTTATGAAATAATTATATATCATAGTGAATGTAAGATGATTATGTAATATTACAAATTGATTGAAGTTGAACATGTAGATTATTAAATGTAGGCTTAGTGGTCTAGAACTACGCCTGGAGTCCCTCTGGTGGCTACTGACGGTCCCAAGCCCGGATAAAGGAGAAGGGTTGGGCATGGGTTTAGCGACCCCATCCCGTAGAAAACTAACTCGCTAAAAAAACGCTAACCAGAAAAAAATTATTCAAATCTTCTAAACTCTGCCTTGGGAGTCAGAAGGTCTTCATTTTAGTGGTCAAGAGGTTAAACGTTCAAGCTTGTGACCAAAACTCTTGAGCTTTATTCTTTGTGATAAGGTAGTGAGTGACCTCTACTGAGATGTCCCACAATAAGATGAAACAATCATAAAGTACTTCTTGGTTCTCAATGATAGTCTAGCTAAGATCGGTTTATAATTTAACCAATGAAATAACTACAATCTTAACAAACTCTCTTATTCTAGTAATATCAAATCGTTCAATGTTTGTGACACCTAAATAAGATCTAATAATATGGAAGATATAGAGATTATACATCTACACCACATCGACATAATTGTTAGACGTTATCAATTGTTAGTATTTTTAAATGTGTAATAGAATATAACTGGGAGATATGTTCCATACTATAAGGATGTCCTTGTGATTGTAACCGAATTCATTCCTTCTTAATATTTAAAATAATTTTGTGTAGTTGATAAACCATAGTCTATGACTGTTCGGATTGGTTGGTGTGAAATACCATCTAATGACGTATTGTGATACTTGAATGTAGTGTCTTGATAAGAGATAGTTAATTAATTCGAACTTCTTAACAGTCAGCCTATGGAACACAGTTTTCATTGTTACTTATAAGGATCTGTAGTTTCATGTCGTTAATATTCAGGTTTGCATTGTCATCCTCTATATGACTTATTAACTTTTTAAGCTGATGAATCAGTATTCTATAGTAACTACTAGTTGACAATACTTTATATAATATTCAACAAAGGGTCTCAGGTTTTGAATTTCGTCTTATTTGTAACTCATCAGCTGGATGTACCAAGATCCCAATGTTGATATTCTATAGCCAAATGTAAACTCCAATTATTAATAAATTATCAGGTACTTGTATTATTTAAATTTCTTCAAAAACATCTATATCTCCTAAGATAAACCAATCTAAGATAATGTCACCTGGTTTTCCACAACAGATATTGAGGATTCTGTCACAGTACACAAAATACTAGTACCCAGTTAATGAACAAATTGTAACGCTATACAAAAAGTTATAACATGAACGACCCAGAGAGTATGATCACACATAATTGTCTCGTTTGGTCTCGTTTCACTATACATAGTTGAATTACCAGTGAATTAATGCGGTGGATATGAATCCAGCTATTCTCAAGTTAGAATTGGAGGTTAATAAGACTTTTAAATTTTACAGTTAATAAATCGGTTAAATGTTAGTTAAACTAGTGATTCTTGGTTTTAAGGGATTTTTGAACTAAGATCAGTAAGTAATGTTAGCTAAGTAACTTGTAGGTAGTTGGAGCTCAGTGGATAACCAGGTGAAGGTTTTTGAAATGATAGGTACTGGGTTGAAGTCCCGGTTTAGACATCAAAACGGATGCAGATACATCTAGTTGCGACTAGTCCCAGAAAGGACAAAATGATTATCTGATATTCTATTGCTACTCATTAACTATGTACGTACTTTATCTGTATTTCCAATTTTTGGTTGAGTTTATGATCTAAACGTTGTACATTTAGAATGTCTAGAATCGATATGTTTTTTTCAAACATTCCATGTACTTGAATTACTAGAAGTCAATTACCAAACTAAACCCGTCTATCTGGAATATGTTACAAGTAACAATATGTTCATACTAATGGATATCAATAATTACAATGAAACTGTTGCTTCTTTCGGTCGATATTAAATGTTTACAAAAACAACATTATGATATCAAGATTTCAAAAAAAGGACAAGTTAATTTACCAAACAAACATTCAACTTACCATGCATGTAGGTGACTTCACCAGGATTCATTACAGTTACTGATTTCACAACTAATGGAGAATCAGTTTCATTAGTAGAGTTATATGAAGTTTTTGGATTGAAATGTTTGGCCAATCGTAAATAGTTTCTTTTATTTGACCTAAATGTATAGATTGAAGACTTGGTTAATGTTATAATTAAGCTAAATAAAAAGTTGGTTAAGCGTCTGGCGCGAGACTGTTAGGTTCTGGGTTCGAATCTTGTGGGGGCGGATGGTGGATACACACTGCTGAGGAGTCCCATACTAGGACGAAACGGCCGTCCAGTGCTTCCGGGTTTTCCATGGTGGTTTAGCTTCAATTGACTCATGATTTCAACCGGTGAAAAAGTTTTAATCCATAAAACAATCTAACTTAAATCTTTGTTCTTGCTCTTATCAAAAGTTATTAGGTATAGCTTTATGTACATGATTTTAAGTCATATACTTTTATGTATGGGTTGTTGATAGATTGGGAGAGTGCAGACATGGCATGTGGCTATGATTAAATGTCACACCAAAGTAAAACTATAGGTGAAATATTATGAACAAGGTACGCTATTGGAAGAAATCAGTCTCAACTTGTTCAATCTTGTCTGGATCTAAAGAAGAATTGTATATACATACTTATGATTCATACACGTTATATTTCAGTTCCTACTAACTTCAATTTTATTATTTGTGTAATAGCTTTGTCCTATAGTACGAAAAGCTACTGCATCGGATCATAAAACACATCAACTAGTGATACTATGTGGTTGATCAGACCAATGAAATACATGAAGTTATGAAACTGTAATAATCACTAATCTATTACTTATATACGAATAGGACAAACAGTCAGTTGGATAAGCATAGTAACGTAAAAGTAGAATGAATTGATTCATATTTGTTACATGTTACAAAACCACAAAAAGTAAAAAAAAACTGAGTAAAGATTAGTCCATAGTAAAATAAGCAATAATGATATTAGTAAAGGAATGAAATTAAATAAGGAATAACTAAAGATGATGATTGATTGAGCTTATCCATACTTTATAATCCATGTTGTATCGTAAAATCTAATGATGCCAGCCTATGCTGTGTATTATTCTAAGGACTCCATCCATAAAACCTTCATTTACTTATTCTACTCACATCAATAAACTGTAAATACATGAGAACATGGGATGTTCTCTTTTGAACTCATATAGCCTTTTTATTTAAAACTGATCATACGATAAAAAATCAAAGTAGACATAGATTTGACAATCATAACAGTTAATTTAGCCATCAAATCGGTCTAATAGTTATTAGAAAATTAAAGTATTTACAATTGATAAATCATCGAGTTTCTCATAGTTAAAATCTTGAATCGATCTAAGCTAAACCACCAGTGAAACCTGGAAGTAATGGACAGCCACTTCGTCATATCGCAGGACTCCTCGACAGTGCGCACGAACACTTAATGTCTAGACCACTGAACAGTCATGCAACGGTGTTAATGCTTGATTTTCATCAATTCATGATCTTGCACAACCCTCTATCCGCTGCCCGAGGTGGATAACTGTCTAACACCCGAATCACTGAGTAGCGAACAATGTTGTGTTTGTCAACTCTGTTTTATTCCTGACCGAATTCTACCAATCGTCAGAATTGGTTAATTAACAAAAGTTAAAATCATTAAATCATATGAAAAGTCAATACTTGTGTTTCAAGAATGTGTGTGTAACTTTGATTCAATGAAAAAAGAAATCTTAATATTACCTTTTATAATTTTGACAAAACAATCAGCTCCAGCATGATCATGTACTCCTGTCCCTTGATCTTCACTCCAGCATAATAATAATAGATTGTACTTTCCATTACCTTCATCTATCAAATTACGTGTGTATCTAATATTTATTTACGAAAGAAAGAAAAGAGGAATGAAGATGTGTTGACAAAAAAAGAATAGGCCACTGAGCCGGCAACCAACGGTGTTAATGTCTAGCTTCAACCAATTCACGAAATCGCGCCACCGTACACCATTGTCTTCAGTGAGTTACTATCTCATAACAGACGTGGTTGAACTCAACTGGTAACGGCTTCTCACTAGAACTCCAAGAAATGCCTCTCGAAGTCAGTCACTAGTGAGCAGATGATTATTATCAGAAGGGGTTTCGTGGAGATTTTAGAAATCGTGGATGCGCAAAGCTGGGGAGTCCCATACTAGAACAAAACAGCCGTCCAGTGCTTCCAGGTTTTCCATGGTGGTCTAGCTTCAATTGACTCATGATTTCAACTAATGAAAGTTCTAAAATCTCCACAAAACCTCTCCTGAAAAACGAATAATTGTTATTGAAATGCCAGTTTTTATGAATACTAAAGTCAATCAGTTATAACCAACATGGAGTTAGATCCATGAGCAAGTACGTTTTCAATGTACGTAGTAACTGACCACAAATAGGTAAGTAGTATGTTCATTTAAATCAGAAAAGTCTTTCTTTTTACCACATAATAATATCAACGAGATTACAAGACATCTATTTAGTTTGGTTTACTTCTATTGTTCAGGATGGTGATTACATGATCATATACAGGTCTTGAAGCGAATAAGATAGCCCTTTCACAATGAGAATCACATCAGTATCTTTTGAAAAAAAATCTTTTGACAAAATATTTGATTATGTAACAATCGTTTGCATCTTTATGATCAGCTTAAGAATAAATTTCATAAAGTTATGTAATCAAACAAACTAATGAAGAAGATTGAAATTCTTCGATGATATTTACTGAAGATCATGTTAACAACGATAAAATAGCTCTGGATCAATCACTTAATACTAACTTCTTTCCTGTAAACGATTTATATGGTGTTTTTGAATCTCATTTGAAATAATGAATGTGTACCACAGAGAATTTCAAAAAAATCTAACAAAAACATATCTCTAGTGTTTTGATGAAGTTTTGTTCTTTGAGCTAGATGATTTGAACGTAGAGTACAAACTTGAAGTTTGTTCTGATGATTTCATCGAGAATAACAATGAAAACTACACATCTGAACCATTCAACTCAAAGAATAAAACTTCATAGAAATTGCTAGGTTTGAAGCGGTTACGAGTTCACTTAAACTGCGAACGGAACAAAGACTCGGTGAACAAAGACCAATAAGCTAGCTATTTGATGCGTCTCAGCCCCGCTAACTAGAGGAAAAAGCCCAAGCTTGGAATGGGGAATTATATTCCGCAAATAGCCAGAAGCACGAGTGATAACAACAGACACAAATCAAAACATACATATATACTGCACAAAACCGTCCTTGGGGAGAGTTACAAAATAGCATACTAAAATACACAACAGACCAATCGCATTTAAGATTCTCCCAAGTGGGAAATACGACACAAAGGTAAAAAACGAGCGCTTTTAGCTCGAAAATAAAGAAATTCAAATTTTCTAAATGAAATTACAAATTTAGGTCCTTTTCCAAATGAGTTCTATAAATCTAACGTCCCCAACAAAAAACCATCCATTTGAGCTAGAAATCTTCTTTAACATCTTAATATCTATCAGTTTAAGAGTTGTGGAGATTGTTAAGCTTTTGTTTGAGATCATGAACCAATTGATGTTAGACCACCATTGAAAACCTGGAAGCACTGGACGGCCATGATCGTGGATGCGCACTGCCAATGAAGAGTCTCACAATAGGGACGAAACGACCGTCCCGTGCTTTCAAGTTTTCAACGGTAGTCTAACATCAATCGGTTCATGATCTCAATCAAAATCTTAATATCTCTAATATTTCCATATTCCTTAGATTGTTATCAGTTTAGAATGTAAATCAGGTTAACTTACTTTGTTTTATTATAAAATATATATTTGCTCCATTCTGAGAAATCACATTGAAAATTCTTTAAAATTGTATATACTTCATTGATATCAATATGATCTTCATTAAATATCATTCTTATGGTTTCAATGAAATCATTTAATGTAGAAATCATTGGAATTTGATATTCTTTATTTGATTGATATAAATTTATAGAATTTAACTGATTCATTATAGACAATTCATTACTACTCATTATAATAGATTAAGTAGTATAATTGTAATATGTTGTATTATGTTTGATAGGACTCTGTTCAACAAAGCAAACAACAACAATAACAAGAAAAATCCGCTGTTACCATGGTTATTTATAGTTGATGGAGAAACATGATCACAACATGTGATTGTTATGATTAAGAAATTTCTGGTCAATATCCATATGATTATAATAAATAAATAAATAAATAAATAAATAAATAATTATTGGTCTGTAACACATGTTTAATCATTCGGCAGAATGAACTTATGATGTAATAAATAGCAAAGAATAGATACTTGACTTTTAATTAAGATTTATATGATTGAATTATTATTATTATTATTAGTATTAGTATTAGTATTATTATTATTACTATGGAAGCATTTGGACTTGTTGTTGTTGTTGATTAGACCGATTATTAGTTGATTTGCCTATTTTGACTGTAATAAAACTGATGAATGAAATGACCTTACTGTTAGCCAAATAAAAACAACAACAACAACTTGTGTTTGAATTGTACATAGTACATTCATTCAATGTGAGTTGATCAGTTTAGAATGTTGACCAAAAAACAACAACAACAAACAATCCTTCGCTGTGTATTTAATAATGTAAATCGGGTTATTGTAGTTGGGAGGTGAGTGTTAGGCTTTTCTTTCTCGCCCTCCCTCTCTCCCTCTCTCTCCCTCTCTCTCTCTCTCGCTTATGTACTGTCAACAGAAAATGTTTTGTAACTATATACAGTTTGACCAAAATATGATTATCTCAATTTATAAATGAGATCGGAAATGTCTAGAATCATTGTTCAAATCATCGAGTTTGAAGTGTTACAGGGACAATAACAAATTCTATTTACATTTATTTATTTATTTTTTTTATAAAAAAATAATATTAAACCTGAAACAATTGAATGTTTAGAAAACAAAAAAAAGTAACCATGTAATTGAGAAAGTTTTCATTATTTTTTTTTCAACCTAATGTTGAATGAAATATGAAAGTTTCATAAGTCAATTATTCAATTTAGAGTGTAGAATTATTTGAAAAATCTTAAGTTTCCTAAGCTAGAAAACTCTTGAATACAACATAGAGAACATCAACCTAATCAATAATTGATGACGAAACTTTGGAAGATATAGAACCCTTCATATACTTAGGAAGTATTATCAATGAACAAGGAGGAACAGATGAAGACGTAAAGGCAAGGATTGGCAAAGTAAAGGTCACATCCGTACAATTGAAGTATATATGGAAGTGAAAACAACTGTCTGTCAACCAATATGAAAATCATAATCTTCAATACGAACGTCAAGACAACTTGTTCTCTTGTACAGAGCTGAAACTTGGAAAATTACTACAACCATCATCAACAAGGTGCACGTATTTATAGATAGCTGTCTACGCAAGATATTCAACATCCATTGGTCGGATACTATCAGTAACAGTCTATTGTGGGAGAAGGCAAACCAGCTTACAGCTGAGGAGAAAATTAGGAAAAGACGTTGGAAGTGGATAGGACATACATTACGGAAATTACCAAACTGTTATAACTTGTGAGTTTCTGCCCCTATCAATATATAACGTAATAATATCGCCAATTAGAGAACAATGAAATATCAACCGGACCAATGACACATAAAACCCGTACGAGCAGCCTAGAGTCTCCACAGATTCTGCTTTCTGCCTAACCCTGCCTGTTAAGTCCAGAACATCAATCTCCGCCTCTGCAATATGAATCATTTATTTCAAACATACTGGGTTTATATACCAACCAAACAAACCACGTCGTACCATAAAATAGGAAACAATATTTTTAAAAGATCTAGCCGAAATTGGCCGTGAATGTTGGAGTTAGTAATTGATAGACCAAGCATAAATCAAGAATGGTGAATCGTATAATAATATTCCACAGGTCAAAATAAAGCTTATGATAAGAGGAACACGAATATGAATAGTTTAGTTACTTAACAATTAAACCATAAAAATATATGTATAGTATTAATCCATAAATCGATCCCAAAAGTCACTATTCATTATTCTCATCGGGATATAACACAAACTGAACTACGAGACAAGCCCTAATTTGCAATCCTGAAGGGAAATGGAAAAGAGGAAGGCCAAAGAACACATTACGTCGGATAATAGAAGCAGATATGAAAAGGATGAATAACAACAGGAAAGAACTGGAAAGGATTGACCAGAACAGAGTTGGATGGAGAGTGGTGGTGGTTGGCGGCCTATGCTCCTTCACGAGGAGTAACAGGCGTTAGGAAATAAAGTTTTGTATTTATTATATTAATCGATATAAGGCAAATATTAGTTTAAAATGACTTACTCAGAAATAACTGACTGATACTGATCCTAAAAAATAGTGGCAATTTGTAACTGTTGACTTTAGAATACCGTGCTAGAATGATTTTCTTCTAATTACAAGCATTAATATATCTGATCGTTTTTAATAGATGAATCTAACCAATTATTCGTTGAAACTATAGTTTATTGGATCAACCTTTGACCCGGTCAAATTGGTCATCATTTGGTAAGTGTGATCGTTTGAATAACATCAATCGATTCATGATCTCAATCAAAAACTTAACAATTTCCAAAACCCCTAAACTGATAACAGTTATAATTGACTGGTTAAATGAATAGTAATTGAGTCCAGTCATTAAATGTATTGTAAATTCGATTTGTCTATTCATTTATTGAATTAATTATCAATCATCTACACTAATTAAATAATTTTTCAATGGTTATGATCATGAGTCAGTTGAAGCTAGGCCAACATGGAAAACCAGGAAGCACTGGACAGCCGTTTCGTCTCATTGTGGGACTCCTCAGCAGTTCGCATTTTCGACCTCGCCCCTTGAGAGATCCAAACCCAGGACCTACTGGTTCCGCGCGCGAGCACTTAACTACCAGACCACTGAGGTGGCCGGCATCGAACGGTGTTAATGTCTAACTTCAACTAATCCATGAAATTGAGCGACACATCCACCATCGTCTTCAGTGAGTTACTATCTCATAACAGACGTGGTTGAACTCCACTGGTCACTACTTCTCACTAAAACTCCAAGATATACCTCTTGAAGTCAGTCACTAGTGAGCATATGTTGATTAATATCAGATGGGTTTTGTGGATATTATAGTAATTTCAATGGTTAAGATCATGAGTCAGTTGAAGCTAGACCAACATGGAAAACCTGGAAGCACTGGACATCCATTTCGTCTTATTGTGGGACTCCTCAGCAGTGCGCATCCACAGAGTTACTGCATAAAATAGAAAAACCATAATCCAACACTTCATTTACAAAATGTTTATTAATCGTCTCAGACTTTATTGTTTCTGCATTTCCATACCGATTACTTTTTGTTCCCCTTGTTTCCTCTTCGATCTTCTCAAACTTCTGCTGCCAGACACTTAATTCCTGACTAGCATTATATACTATTTATGTAGATATAAGTAGCACACACTACAACAGTTGCAGTCCAGAATAATGTAGTTCAAATAGTAATTATGGCTGTAATAAGCTCAAAATAATTTCAGTATTTTAGAAAATTGTACAATCAGATTGCTGAAGTTCATTAAAATTATGGACCGATCAGAGATTTAGAGATTAAGCACTTACACGAGAGATCGAAGGTCCCGGGTTTGATTCATGAGTACGGGGTCATGGATACGCACTACTGAGGAATCCCATACTATGAAGAAAAGTCCGTTCAGTGGTTACCGGATTTCAATGGTGGTCTAATTTAAACTTTAAATTATTTTAAGTCATAGTTCAAATTTAAATGTACGACAATCTATTCGTCTCAAAAATGGATGAATAATCAGTAATTCATTGTATTTTCTAAAGATTAAATATAAATGATTCACTGGATTATATACTCGCCACTTCTAAAAATCCACACCCTGAAATAAACTGGAATAGCGGTAGTTCTTAGTTATGTAATGATAGATTCTCATTGACATTTAACATGCACTGCTGGCCACAATGGGTTTGTACCTCAACAAGACATAATAATATACTTGACCTAGTATTTTATGGAAATATCATCCCACTGTCTATACAAGTATACAATGAAGTCGAGAGCAACGAACATAAAATAGTAGTTGTTGCTCTCTGAATTTGTCCCTCTTATTACCAACCCATACAAAAACTCGTCAATATAGAGACTACAGACATGCTGAATGGGACCTCCTTCATTTCCTGGTAAGATCCTCAGACTGGGATATCTTCTTCTCAAGCAGTCGTTTCGTGGATGCCATTGACACATTCTATCTGATCACTAACTCTTGTTTAGATTCCTGCTCATCTCTTAAAACATACATGTTTAGTAAACCTAACGAATTATTTATACCAGCTAAATATTGTAATAAATTAAGACACTTGTAGACACGCTAGTTTAAGTCAAACAATTTCACGGTAGTTGCACAAATAACCACGATTGTTAACCAAATCAAAGAAAAGTACAGGTTAACAGCCATTAATCAGGAGTTGTTAGCACTTAATAATAGCTCAAAGGTGAAAGGCTTAATTCTCCTTCTCAATTAACGTGTTAAAGCAACTAAAAATGATGATATACGATGCATCCTGGATAATGGCACTTTTATAGATGACTCTAAAACCATTGCAAACCTTCTCAGTGGTATTTTTGCGAACAATAATGGATTCCTAAAGGGCACTGTTTCAAGAGTCAGATATGTGACTAGGAACTCAATAAAATCTATCTCTCACATATCTGAAAATTAGTAGGGCTATAAACTCCCTTAAATTTTTAAGAGCTCATTGAGTAGACGGGAATTCATCCTTTATTTAAATATATGGTGGACCAGGTATTCCAGTCCTTCTTCTAAAGGTGTTTACTCTTTTTTTCGGATACTGTTATACAAGGTAGTGTCTTAGGCCATTTGCTCTTTCCAGTTTATATCAACGATATTTGAGGTTGCTTTTACATGGGTAAGCCTCTTCAATGTGCAGATGATCTTAAGGTAGCAT